TAAGGTTAAAACACTTGTTTAGGCTTTCAGTTATGTTCCTGAACTATTTTTTGTTTGCAGTATCTTGAGCTACTCTGTGCAAGAAAAATGCAAAAGCAGATTCTGAGCATCTATATAAATAAAATTTTGTCTGTTACCATATCAAATGAAAACACCTATAGATTTTCATCAAATCTGGATGGACTGGGGCTATGTAATATGCACAAAATTCACTTTGGAAGGGGTCTAAGGCCTCCAATTAGAGAAGCATGCTCTCTGAAGGGGACAGAGATGGATGCACAATGTGAAGAACACTGATACTTCAAATAGATAGGCAATAATTTTCCAGAACAGTTGAAACCGAATGATCATTAATCATGGTTAATGAGTTTCTTGAGCAATGCTAGATACCAGATATTTCCAAATAAAATCAGAGTATAAGACACCTGTAACAGAAATAAACCAACAAAAAGTCTTGCAGAACCCAAATAGATTAGTAAACTTTATTTGGCATTAAGTATGTTTGGGCTCCAGTCAAGTTCATCAGGTAATGCAGAGAAGGCTCAAAGTCTCAGAAAAATAACAATTCCCATGATTCCCTAGCACTAACCCTAACCCTAAAAGTGGACTCAATTTGCACTATTTCTGGCAGTCTGCAACCCCCCTCAGTGCTAGGGAATCATGGGAACTGTATTTTTTGGGGGGGGACACTGAGCCTCTCTCTCAGAGAGCTCGTGTCATAATAAACTACAATTCCCATAATTCCTTAGTACTGAGCCAGGACAGTTAAAGTGGCCTCAAGCTGCATTATTTCTGGTAGTCTGTAAAGGCTGTATGTCATTTAACAAATGGTTTAGTTCATTTTCACAATCTTGGATTCATGAAAGACAGAATAAAAATGTAAAGTTACAACTATCTGAGCATTTCCAAGTTGCTTTGAGCCCTGCCTTTGAGGAAAAATGTATTAAGTAGTACAAAAATACATGTATATACATATGTTTAGCTCCAGGCAGTATCTATTGTGCTGCCTTTTAAATATCCACACAAGATACCTCCACACATTCAGCTGGAGATTCACTCAGTAGCATATACTGGCATAAAGCAAGTTGCTTTTAAAGAGGCATTAAACAGTGGCTGGGTTATTAGTCATGTCAAAGAGGAGATCAAAAGAATTAGGTTGTAGAAGAAAAAAACAAGTAATTCACTATTCTGTGGTATTGTAAAAACTAAGTTATTGTGACAATAGCTTGGTGAGGGGTGTTACAGCTCTAAATAAGCACAGAGTTGTCCCTCCCCATTTGCAGACTTCAAGTCCACGGTCCCATTCTTCGCAAGAGGGATGTAATGGCGGTGTGTGCTAGCGTGTGGCCCCCGCATGCGCCATGGGTGTGCACACTGTTATTTTCAATAGGCCTTGAATAGTTGTGAACCACCATTTTTGCAGGGGGTTGTGGTGGTGTCTGGAACAGATCCCCAATATGAATTGGGAGGGGCTACAGTATATAGTCATGGGAGCACTCTTTTCCAATGTAGTGTAAGTGAAATGTCGAATTACAGTGCCTTATATAATCAGCCCTCAAAGCACCCCAATAAAAAGTAAAAAGTGAATGAAAAGTGAAAAAGTGTTATCACTGAAATGATACAGGCTGCATAGCTGGATATGAGTTTAACTGTATAACTGAGGAGTAGTCAAAAGTGTAACTCTCCAACTATTGCTGAACCTCAACACCTAGCATCCCCTGCCACTGGCTATGCTGGCAAGGGCTGATGGGACATGCTGTTCAGCAACATCTGGAGGGCCACATTTTGTTCATACCTGTCATAATTTGTTGCTTTGCAAATGTGGTCTTACCTTGTTTACTTCATGAGAATTCTAGTGCAATCTTCTGTTCCTGTCTGATTAAACCACAAAGTAAACACAAGACTGAATGGTTCCTTGATTAGCTTTCAGTTCATCAGTTTTTTCCACTCGTTTGTCTGCTTGGTATCACATCCTTGTGTAAACTAGTGCTGCTGGAACATGAAAGTTCCCCAACAACTGAATAGGTAAAGGAAGTCACTAGGTTACTTCTCATGAGAATCCTTCCCATGAAAACTAAGCTGCAGTTGCATTCATGGAACAGCTCCTTCCCCCTTCTTATGTAAGGAGCACGTGGACTATACAGTATTCAATTACCATCACCAAGTAATTTGTTGTGGCCCCAGATGCTTCTCCTGCCTTGAGCTTTTTTCTTTTAAGGTCCTGAAGTCCAGATCCAGGAGAGAGAATGAAAATAAGCCAGCCTAGAGTCATACAACATAGTACAAGCTGTGATCCTCCTGTATTTGAAGGACAGAAAATTAATCACACAAATTAAATGACTGTGATAACCATAGCTTGCACTGACAGTGTGGACAAAATTAAAATAAAAAGCATCTCCTGGGCTTTATTGACAAAAGAAAGATTATCAAGATGAAAGCAACACATCATTATAAAACTTGGGGGAAGATAGTGAGGAAAGCTGGTTCTAAATCTGCCATGAATGTCCCCATACTGTACGTGCTAATTATGCAATCCCTCAAACAGTTAGGATCAGATCCAAAATAGCTGACTCCCTCGTTGCCTCTTCCACCTTTTGGACAATGAAATTGTCTTCAAGGCAAGTGAGGAATTTTCTAGTCCGTGAGGATTTTGCTGAGTTTGACTTCCAGCAAATATCAGGATAGTTGA